AGGGCCAGGGACCCAAGCAGGTACTTGCCCTCCCCTGCCTCTGGAAAAGTCCCTGACACCTTTCAATGAAGAGGAAATGTTTTTTAAAACCCACCCCCCCTGCCTTTTCTTCCAGGGGCATTTCTTCCAGCTGGTGTGGATCTGCAGGGCCACCCTGGAGGACAAGTGTGTCTGTGTTTATCTGGTCCCATCTACACCAGTGAGCCCTTGAAATGTAGCCTGGCTGGCAGATCTGGTCAGGCTGGGAAACTCAGTTGTACATGTTTTGGGTTATTTCTTCTTTGTTTACAAGTTCTCTTGGCTGCAGACAGGGACAGGCAGCTGGTGGTCTGTGCGTGGCTGGGAGATGAGGCTGAGGCAGGGCTCCCAGCCCGGGAAGGCTGGATGGAGTGGGGCTGAGCTCTTCCAGCTCACTCCTGCCTGAGTTTGCAGCCAGCACTGGAGATGCTGCTGCTCTGCTGCCTCCTCCTCCTGCAGGCTGGCACCTCGGGGCTTGGTTTGGCTTTGGCTTTGCCTGCACCAGCAGCAGCATCTGTGGCTCTGAGCTGGTGGCTGAGGGACACCCCTGCTTGCTCCAGACATGAAACCACAGCCCAGAGGGCACTTCTTGCTGTCAGCAGCAAGTGCTGTCACACAAATGTCACACAAACCCTGGTATTGTTCTTCCTTCACTGACAAGAGCACTGGCAAGGTGGGAGAGGTGCGTGTCTGAAGGTCTCAGGGCTCTGCAAGGGGCTGTTGTGAGATGTTCCTGTGCCCGTGTGGTTTGTGCTGGGGGACCTGTGGGAGCAGCTGTGGGGACCTGTGGGAGCAGCTGTGGGCACAGCTCACCAGAATGGACACAGCCCCTGCCAGCCCAGGGTGAAGGGAGAGCTTCCCTGCAGCAGGGCTGTGCTGGAGGGAGGTGGAGGGGGAAGCTGCTGAAAGCTCTGACCTTTCCAGGCAGGACCTGTTTCCCAAACACACCTGAATCACTGGCAAACTCCCACAGGTGTAGGCATGGGGAAACCTGTTAAACTAAAGCCAAAGGGTCACAGGAGAGATGTTTGCTTTGGAAGATAACACGCACCTGTTCTGCACACTGAGGGCAAGGAAACCCTCCAAGACACATTTTCCCTTGTTCCCATGGCACCTTTGGCACTGTGAGGCCAGGCAGCTGCCCCTCTCCATTACATTCTAAGACCAGGTATCTCCTTCAGCTTTACCAGCACCTCCAACCCACAACCCAGAGGCATCATAAACAGTGGCAATGGCTCCTTCACCTCCAGCAGTACCTCTCCCCACCCAGGTCTGCTGCCCAGGCTGATGCTGTTATGAAGATGCCTGGGTCTCCTGTACCTGCAGCCCAGTTGCCAGCTGAAGAGGGAAGGGCAGGCTCCTGGCAAAGTGCCCTTCTGTGGGGCTGCTGTCAGGAGCCAGCTGCATTATCTGCCTTGCTGCTGGTCCCGGGGAGGCTGCAGGGACCCCAGCTGCTTTGTTTTCTTAAGTAGCACCAAATCACACAGAATCACTGAATCTTAGGGCTTGGAAGGGACCTTGAAAGAGGAACCTCCTGTGCTCCAGTTTGCACCCACTGCCCCTTGTCCTGTCACTGGACATCACTGCACAAAGCCTGGCTCTGTCCTCCTGACACTGCCCTGAACAGATTTGTGACCATGGATGAGGTGGCCCCTCAGTCTCCTCTTCTCCAAGCCCAACAGACCCAGCTCCCTCAGCCTTTCCTCAGCAGGGAGATGTTCCCCTCCCTCCAGCATCTCTGTGCCTCTGCCCTGGGCTCTCTCAAGCAGTTTCCTGTCCTTCTGGAACTGAGGGGCGCAGGACTGGACACAATATCCCAGATGTGGCCTCACCAAGGCAGAATAGAGGGGAAGGAGAACCTCCCTTGCCCTACCAACCACCCCCTTTCTAATGCACCCCAGGAGGCCATTGGCCTTCCTGGCCACAAGGGCACATTGCTGGCTCATGGTCATCCTCCTGTCCACCAGGACCCCCAGGTCCCTTTCTCCTCCCCTGCTCTCCAGCAGCTCAGCCCCCAACCTGTACTGGTACGTGGGGGGTTGTTCTTCCCCAGATGCAAGACTTGCCCTTGTTGAATTTCATCAGGTTTCTCCCCACCTAACTCTCCAGTCTGTCCAGGTCTCACTGAATGGCAGCACAGCCTTCTGGTGTGTCAGCCACTCCTCCCAGTTTGGTGTCAGCAGCAACTTGCAGAGGGCACACTCTGTTCCCTCAGCCAGGTCCTTGATGAAAATGATGGCAGAGACTACCAGGAGAAAAGGAGCTCTTTGGGCAGCATCTCATGTCTTACTTGCAAGGCTTTATTGGATTAACTTTGTACTGGAGCTACGTTCTCTTCTCTCACTGGAGAGGCCAGTTCAGCTGTGGGAGAACAACTTCACAACCACATTTTGTCACACAGGTGACTTGCATTAAAAAACCTTCACATGCATTAATGTCACCTGAGTTTTGCAAGCCCACAAAGCAGGTTCTGCCCCAGGGATCTCTGTCCCAGTGCTGGGATGAGCATCCCCCTAAGCATGTAACTCTTTTGCTTTGCTTCCTATTTTCTACATTAGGGAGAGTGTGTTTTGTGTCCCCCACATCCCTTGCAAAGGTAGAGGTGCTGTTAAAGAGACCCCAACTCTGCTGTCCCCTTCCAGCCTTTTGCCCCTCTGGGTGCCTGCCAGCCCATGGGAGGGAGACTTGCATTCCTTCAGCTACTTCCCCATTATTTACACATGAAGTTAACAACTGACCCAAGAATTCATCTACCTACAAATAGATTTTTAGGGCTGCTTTTGTTAAGTTTTTCCCCTCCTGGCCACAAAGCTCTTCTTTTCTGTAATTTCCTTCCTACATTTCCTCCCAAACCTAATCCATTTGAACATGAACATGTTGCTTTTCAACCAGCTGGTGCATTCTCAGCCTCTTCTTCTCTCTTACCTGCTGATTATTTCTTCATTTCACTGTCCTCTATCCCTACTTTTGTTGTTTGCAAAAAAAAAAAAAATAAATCAGGCTTTTCTCCTCCCTCTCCCTCTTCACAGCTCCCACCATCTGGCTCCCTACAAATACAAAGCTTTAGGGGAAATGATTCACTAGGCTGCTGGCTCATTACTCACACTCTCCCCATCATGGTTCCTGTCCTTGTAGGATGCTCTAACTAATGTAAGGATCAATGAATCCTGGGAATTGTTATTCAATTAAAAAAAAATAATAATAAAATAATGCCCCAGCAGTTAAATAGATTGGGCTCTTTGTACTTTCTAAACACCAATGCTTGGTTTGTCTTCCTTGCTCTGCTATCGTTGCTTTGCAGGAAGGGATCATTGAAACAGAAGAATAGAAATGATCACTGGGCCATTTAATGCAACCTTGTGTCTCACATGATGCAGGAGTTACTTAATGAAATTCCCTGGCCCAAACCAAGCAAATCTGTGGTCAATCTAGAGCACGTATTTCAGGATGACAGCCAAAATGATGAAAGGAATTGAGTGCCCAGCCTCACTAATCACTCTGAATGCTTAACCGCTCCCTAACGCGCTGCTTTGCAAACAGCAGAGCTGGCACAGCCTGGCTCCCTGCAGAGCTCCCTCCTCCAGCCTCAGGCAGCCCCAAAAGCCCTGCCAGCCCTGGCCAGGGGCAGGGTGGCTAACTGTGCCTGCTGTGGGCAGCTGCCCAGCTCTGGGAGGCCTGAACCCCTGCTGCCTCTGCCTGCCCTGGGCAGGACTGTGGTTCAGCTCTGTGCTCAGGTTGTTACCATAGGGTCCCAGACTGGTCTGGGTGGAAAGGGACCTTCAAGATCATCCAGTTCCACCCCCTGCATGGGCAGGGACACCTCCCACCAGCCCAGGCTGCTCCAAGCCCCATCCAACCTGCCCTTCAACACTGCCAGGGATGGGGCAGCCACAGCTTCCCTGGGCAACCTGGGCCAGGCTCTCACCACCCTCACACTCCACAATTCCCTCCTCATGTCTCACCTCAATCTCCCCTCCTCCAGTTTAAAACCATCACCCTTTGTCCTATCACTGCCCTCCCTGGTGACAAGGTCATTCTATAACTAATACTAAAGCTGAGGAGGATCTTGGAAAGAGCCTGGATTGAGCAGGACTGAAGTGCTCTGTGCCAAAGCAGGACATTCTTGTATGACTGGAGAACAAGGGCTGCAGAATTTTAAGCCAACAGGGTCCACCATTACCTCAGCAAGGCTCAGGCAGTTTAAAAATGTGAACCCTCACCAAAGTCACACTTAAGTGCTCTGTAAGAAAAAAACAACCCAACAGCCATTAAAATCTTAGCAGATGTGATGTTGTTGAGCCTTCCTGGTTGCCAACACCCCGTGGCTTTCCAGCATCTTTGATCATTTTAGTGTCCCACACTGCACACAAGTTGCAGGAGCCAGTGTTATTTCTCTTAACAGTTGCTGGCTCCAAGTGCCAGCTCCTTTGCCATGCTCTGTTTTCAATAAGGACTGAAGAGCAGATGTGGAGGTCTTTGGTGGCAGTGGCAGCACATGTAGCCACGGGTTCAGCTCTCCTTTTGTGGACTCTGGCTGCGTTTCTGAGAGGCAAAGAACTCCAGAGATTTCAGATCTCAGTCCTCTCATTGCAGACAGTGTCTTTCTGCAAGACAGGCCAAGGAAAACTTGCACCACCCAACAGTTACTGCTCCTCTGTTGTTCCCAGCAATCATAAAAGCTGATGCAACGTGTTAAGGTTCCCTTCCAAAAGGCAAAGATATTTATTAGCGTATCTACAAATCAACTGGTCCATAATGCTCTGCCAAGCAGCAGGATCTTTAAAGAAACCCTGAGCAAAAAGGAGGATGTAATTTTTATTTTACACTTATTGCATCACTATTTCTGGTATTTGTTTGCTCTATGGACTAACAGGGGAATGTGTGAATAACAGATGTTACAGTAAAACTGGGCATTCTTTCCACTTGGAAATGTAGAAAACAAGAGTTCTGCCCCATCAGCTTCAGGAATGGACGTTCAACATGGTAGGGAAGAAGCTGAGCCTGAGCTGCCCAAGACAACCAACTCCTGTAGCAGAAAGTGTCTCCTGTAGTCAGGAAGAGCCACCTGGAGTGTGTTGGTTCCCTGCCAGGACAGCCCTGGTTCCCTGCCCTGCAGCAGCTGCTGCTCCTGCACCTCCAGGTTCACAAGGGCACAACCTGCAGGGTGGGTAAAGGGCCTATGGGAGGAGCAACATACTCCTCCTCCCTCAGCAGCCGCAGCAGGATGTTCTTCTTGTTCTTCGGCCAGTTGTAGATGTGGGTGTTCTGCAGCCAGGTGGGCACGTGCTCCTGAAAAACAAGGAGGGGGGAAAAGGTGAAATCCCATAAATCCTCCTGAGTCTGAAGCAGAACCTTGCAAATTCCATCAGAGCCTGCCAAGCAAGATTTCATTTTGTCTGTTCCAGGCACTTCCCCTAACAGCAAGAAATTTCAATTTGGCTTCAGAACTGTAGTTGGGTTCCTGAATAAATGAACTTGTGTTATCTCACAGCTTGCCTGTCTCTCTTTTCTGCCATCACACTGGCTAGTTTCACCCCATTTCAAAGGGACTCTGATCCCAGTGACAGGCATCCCAAAGCCTGTGAAAATCAACACTGAGAAGACAAGGGAGACCCTTCACCTGCACCTTCACCTTAGTGAGGGACCCACACAACACCTTCCACCTTGAGATGAGAATCAATGGGAGCAGGACCACAGGGGAGCATTTCTCATCCTGGTAGCCTCCCCTCTCCCCCTGCACCTTCCTCCACCCCACATGGTGTCTCCTGGTCACCTCCTGAGCAGGAGGCTGAGGCTGGTGCTGAGCTCAGGGAGCAACTAATGCATCTCCAGCTCAGCAGGGTCAAAGCTCCACCACTCCCCACGACCTGGGAAAGGTGCAGCCTTTCAGAGGGGTTGTCTAATGCTCATTTACATAACGAAGATGGGAGCACTATGGCCCTGGACAGTGACAGTGGAGCCTGCTCAGACCTCCTGGTCCCATGTCTCTACAGCCTGGGGAAGTCTCCCTGCAGACAGCCTGGGTGTGTAGGGCTATATTCATACCACTAATTAAAAGAGGGTCAAAGACTGATCCTTGAGAAAACCAGCTCATGTCCACTGCGGAGATGGAGATTTGTTTTTGGAGAGGTGTTGTTGCAGACACCAGAACACAGCCAAAGTGAGACAGCACGTAAGCAACATTAGCAGACAAGAGATCCAGCACTTGCTTCCTGGACCTCTTATTTTCCCAGGCTGGCCCCTGTTAGGAGCAACACAGTCCCTGCCAAGCCAGTGGAGCTAGTTCCAAGAGCTGCTGGTGTGCACCAGGGCTCTGGGCATCAGGGGATGCCCTGGCATGAACAGCACATGTCCTGCTTGCCAGCAAACAACTGATCCTTCATTCCCAAGCCTCCTGCTTCTCCAGTCAGCTGTCCCTTCCTGGCTGCAGGAACCAGGCATCCTTGCTCCCACTGCTTAGGGAGTGGTTTGTGTTAATGGGTCAGGTGTAAGGAGGAGGAAAGTGACTCAGGCACCTCCAGACCCATCAGTCCCACCTCACACAGGTGCTGAACAAGCAGCCTGGTGGGTGGCAGAGGTCTCTACCAAGCCTGGCTTTCTCCTTTCTCCTCTGGCCCAGAGGGAACAGGCTTTGGTGAATGGACTCCCTGAAGTGAAGGTTTTAAAGTGCTGCTCTTCCAGGTGGACACCCCAGTGCCCAGCAAGGGTAAGATCCCACAGCATTTGCTTTGGCAGGAGCACAAACAGCATTTCTTGCCTCCACCAGCCCCTGCACGGGGCTGGATTTTAATCTTTCTGAACTTTACTCCTTTGACAAAGCAGTTTGAAATGAGCCAACAGTTTCAGATGTTGCTAGGAGAAAGATAACTATGTTTGCATGCAAGTGCATACCCTTATTACCTAAACTGTGTTTCTTTACTAAATCTTGCAGCCATTGAAGAAAATGAGATAAAATAGAGGATGGTTTTACCAAATGAGCCCTCACTCTGTCTCTGATAAGAGACTCAGTGTTTTTTTGCAGGAGGAAATGCAGCAGACCCAGTCAGTCTGGACTTCAGCAAAGCATTTGATGTAGGTCCACATGGGAAATCATTAGTTAAGCTTGAAAAGATGGAAATTAGTGAGAAATGTATAGTAGGTAAGAAACCAGCAAGCAGGGATATAATGAGAGAGACACTGCACATCCAGAAGCAGCCTCTGTGCTTTCCTTCCAGAGCTCCTGCCACCAATTTCATTTAATATCCTTCATAATGAGCTTGGTGCAAAAAGCACCTGCAGGCTCATCAACTCAGGCAATCATTTTAATTTGGAGGAGGTGTGTAGGGGTAAGGGGTAACTTTAGCTGCTATTTTGATCCAGAAGGTGAGCAGAGGGAGTGAGAAGGGGGTTCCTCCTTGCCACGTGACACCAGCCATCACTGCTGGTGGGAGTAACTGGAAAGTGGTTGCTGCTCTTTTAATTTTTCTATTCACCTGTGTATCTGTGAGCTGAGAGGAAACTCCCTTTATGCCACTGAGACAATCTCTGGTAACTCTGAGGCTCCAACTGGTAGGATGTTGGTGCAGAGGGCAGGGCTGTGCGTTCAGAGCTGTGTTGGTGGAGCTTGGCTGGGGCTTCCCCTGCCCCTCCAGCTGCAGAGGGACCTCCTGTGTGGGGCAATCCCACTGGAATGCTGCACTTAGGGGGTGGCCAGGTCAGGAGGACACATTTCTGTGGACTGGCCTGATGCAAGCCCTGAACCAGCAAACCTCAGGTTTCCTTTTGCAGCAGGAAGCTGGGAATGCCAGCTCTACCTTGACTGTGTCTTGTGCCTTTTCTCCTCATTATTTAACTTCCTAAATGAATGTTCCTTGGATCACAGAGATCTCTTCCCACTGGAGGTCAACTAACTTTCACAGACCAGCAGTGCTTTGTGATGTGCTTCACAGGAGATTAACTCAGCTAACAGCCACATCCCCAGATGATGCCTTCCAAACCTTGCTCCCCTGCTCTTTTCCACTGCTACAGGAGTGCTTGAACATGTAAAGGACAGTATAAAAAAAGACAAAAGAAAGTATTTTGCCCACCAACATCATCCAGTTGTACATATACGTGGTGTTTTTCAGGTACCTCACCTCCTCTGACTGCCCACAGACTTCAGTACTGCAACTTGTTCAGGCTCTGGTGCTCTCCTTCCACCCGTGATGTCTCCAGTTCTATCATCATTAACTAGTTAAGATGAAGGTAGATGATGTACCAAAGAAATGTGTGAAGTAAGAGACCAAAGCTTAACAGAAAATGCTGATCTGCATAATTTAGATGAGAAAGGCACCTCTGGCAGCACTGCAGAGCAATGTGGAGCACAGAGGATGGGTGGGGAGGCTGCCAGGAGCCTGATGCTTTGCTAAGAGCAGCTGAACAAACCAACCCTGGAAATTCCTTATACATCACTGTCTGAGAGAGCCCCTGCTAATATGCTAAACAGTCTTTTGATTCAGCCAGAATTAACCTGAGTTTATTGGTTTTGCATCTGCCTCGAAGCCCAGAGGTGGCTTTAGTGCCTGCTGGGCCACTTCCCCCTGCAGCCCCTGGGGTGCCAGGAGGTGCCTGAGCACCCGAGGAGCTCCCAGGGTGAGATCAGTCCTGCCCTTCCCCACACCAAGCTGCAGTGACTGACTGAAGATGTGGACTGGTTCCCTGCCTTTGGGCTGCCCCAGCCCAGCAGAGCTGCCCCACAGCCCACCAGTGCTGCCCCACAGCCCAGCAGAGCTGCCCCACAGCCCAGCAGAGCTGCCTCCCAGCCTTTCACAAAGTGCCAGGCTGGGATGTTCAGGAAGGAACCTGGATGACAAGAACTACCAGAGGCACTCTTAATTCCAAAAGCTGTGCAAACTCAGGGACACATTTTCCCACCTTAGCATATTAACTCAGTGCCTAAACAAAGAACTTGATCGCACTCAGATCCACAAGTGCTGTGGGATTTCATGGCCCTACAATCATTGGTACCATTTTTAAATGTGGACTTATGTTCCAGAAGTTGGGTACCCAAATAAATCAAAACCATCTTTTCATACCTTCCCAAAAATACTGCTGTACCTGGGAGTAACAGGACAGCCACTCAGCAGGGCACACAATGCAGTCACAAAATGCAAACACAAATGCAACATAGCTGTTCTAAAGCCTGGGGAAGAAAGCAACCTCTCAGCTATGACTGAAGCTGCTCAATTTTTCTGGCCTTGTAAAAATCCAAGAGGTTCTTTTGGAGTAAGCACAGGAATCTGTTAATGTCTTATTCTCAAATGGATCCTCAAACCCAATGCAGAGGGCAGATGAAATTGCAAGTCCTAAAAAATCTTACAGTTGCCTTTGATGGGCTGTCCTGGTTTGAGCCAGGATGAAGCCACTTTTCCTTTTACTGATTTTTTTTTTCTTCATCAAAGTTGAAGCAATAGCACAGTACTTTAATATTTATTATCCTCTTTATCTTTATATTCTCAACCCACCAGAGCCTCACTTCACATCAGTCATAAATCTCTCCCATCTCACTCCTTGGCATTACATCTGGATAAAATTATAAAAGGGTTAATACAAAGGGCCTGCTTGCTGGATAGATTGTCCCTCTGCATTCCAATTATTCCAATGCTCAAGACACCTTAAGTCTCAGTTAAACCCTCATCATCAGAAACACTTCTATGCACTGATTAATATTGCAGATCAAGTTTTTTTATTTGTATGGTCATAAAACTCTAAACTTTTCATGTAAAATGTAGCTGTGGAATATTACTAGTGGGATGTTGAGAACCAAGGAATGGAGGGTTTGGGTTTTAAGATTTCACCTGGTGCCTCATGATCAAAACAACAGGTGCTTAATCACGTGCCAAGAACATACCCAGGTATGGATGTTACCTTTTTGGCATTTGGGAAAAGCACAGGGATGAATCTGAAGTTCATGCTTCCTTGTTGTATAAACTCGATCTGCATCTGGAACAGAACAAATTGCCAGGTTTATTGTACTGACAGGTTAATTTTTCTTCACCATTTTTCATGCATCTGAGCCCCACGTGTAATCACATTTGTTGCTTTCTTACTCTGCTCTTCCATTAGGTGATTTGATCTGTCACTGGTGGACTAAGTGTCATTTTGTTTGGCCACTTAGATTGATTCCTCATTACTACAGAAAGGACCCAGGAAAGGTCTGACAGTGTTTCTTGAGCATTTGGTTCTGTGGTTTAGAGTAACTGTGGGTTTAGTGCAGTTGCCATCCCATGAAACCCATCTAGAACCAGCACACCCTGACGTGCCTGAGGCTCCTGTGCAGCCTCCTCTGGGGTGCAAGATTTCAGCTGTGTCCCAGCTCCATGTCCAGGCTGGTCCCCAGCCTGTGGTGGGTGTCCTTGGACACAGGCATACTGGGGGGGTAAGGACAGCAAGTCCTGCCAAGAGCTCATCTGATGGTGAGGAGTGTGGCTGCAGGATCAGGGTGGGGACTCAGAGGGATGACAGGGGGAGAAAGGCAGCAGACTCTGAACTGAGGGCTAAAGAAGGAGTCTCATGGCTCTGCGGGTCCTTCTGGGCTCCATGTCCTGTCACAAACTGCAGGGATGGGGGTCTGGGACCCCCACTGCTCCCCTGCCCTCCTTTCTCCCCCAGGAACCCTGTCTGGCTCTGGCTTTGCTTTGCAATTCCACCTTTCAGCCAGTTTTGCTGCTGCCTGAAGAAGGACCTCAGGTACCTCAGGTACAGGGAGGCCTGGGCCACAGGGGCTGCTCAGAGCGAGGAAGGTCAGGCAGGGTCAGGCAAGATTGAGCTCAGGGCTGGATGAGAGGGAACAGGGGCTGGAGAAGGTGAGGGAGGGGAAAAAAACCCCATAGAACAATAAAGAATATGGAGGAATAAGATGAGCAGGTTTAATAGGATTTTTCTTCCTTGAATCTCTTAGCAGACGTTAATGAGCATACGGAGCTGATGAGAGGGAGGATTAATGAATTCCAAAGGGGGGTGTTTAACTGTGGGGATTAGGGAAAACAAAGCAAAGCACCTGCCATTTGGAGACAGATTTGTCTTGTGAGAAGAAGAGACAGAGCCTTTGTAAAACAGCAAATGCACGTCCTTGCTTACCATCCTGTGGATGTATTTAGTATGTAAGCCGTGTTCATCCCTGTCCAGCTGGGACTCAGCCCCTTCCACATCCTGTTTGTATTTTGGACTGATTGCTATGATTATCATCACTGTCTTCTGTTGGGGAGAAAAGCACTTTTATGAAACTGGGAAACGCAGCATGTTTGGGAGAGGCAGATGGGAAACCTGCCAGTTTGTGTTTTAAGTGATCTTTATGTTCTTGGCAAACACGGGAGGATCTCGTTCATTCTGGCAGGAAATCCAGGAGAACTTGCACACTCCTTCCCCTCATCACTTCTTGGGATCTCATCATACAGAAAATCTAAATGTCAGGAGGTACATTAGCAGCTACCAGTTTACAGTTGGAATCCCTGTAATAAAAAGCTACTTTTTTATCAGAGTCTCTATGTACATACACAGAAAAAATGTATCTTCAAATTCAGATCTAAATGTTTTCCAACAGCTTATGTGAAAGTGCATCTATTTAACCATCCCTGGCTTTATATGCAGCAAGGCACTGCAGGCTGTGGAAGGTACATCTCTGGGCAACAGAAACAACAGAAATAACAGAAACAAGCTCTTCTTGCTGATCTTAGCAGTGGGCTGTGCAGAGAGGTGGGTTTTTGCAGACAGTCTGGGCAGGTTTAGGGGTACCTAGAAGTTCTGTCCCATCTCGATGCCATGGGCCAAAGGAAATGCTCCTCACCTTGCTGGGACAGCTGGGATCCTGCCTGTGACCTTTTTAATCCCAGGCCTCCACTGAGCTCAGGTTTGCTCAGAGGAGCCATCCTTCATATCTGGGAAACCTTTCTCCTCCTTTGTGGTGGGACAGTGAAGGGGCTCAGCAGATGAAAGCCTCCTCCTTGTGTTTAACTAGTGCCTGTCTGGCATCCCTGACACATCAGGCTGTGTAAGGCTTCCAAGCTCGTGGCTCACACTCACCTAATTACCTCCCTCCTTCTGTGCAATATCCAGGGAATCTGCCCCACCACAGGGTCAAACACAGTAAGGAGCCATTATCCCTTACACCAACTTAACACACTCCAGAATTACTTCTGCGTGTGCCTGACACACATCTAAGCACTTACAGATGTGGAGGGTTTGAAGACATGACTGGTTGCACACATCCCACTGCTGGTGTCCAAGCAGTCCCTTCTTCCTCACGTGTGTAGAGTTTTTGAAGTTAGAATCTACCTCTACAGTCAGTGGAGGAAAAGACATTTCCAGGGTGGGCAGTCAGAGAAGGATCCTCACGAGGAGGCAGGGAATTGTCCTCTGCACACACTGGTCTCTCTTACTGACTGTGCAGGAGTCCCAGAGATCTGCCAGTTTGTATTTTCAGTGATAACGATGCTCTTGGCAAAAGCAAATTCACCCTGGTTTCTAGTTTCAGTCCCCCCTATTACCCATGGTGAACCCAAGCCTAATTTGTCCTGACAAAAGCCCCCAAAGACACATGAATTGTACCAGCAGAGGCCCCGAGCTGGTTTTGCATGCAGAAGCAGCCTGCCTGTGTGCTGGTGTGCTTGAGCTGAGCTGGACACCTCCAGGAAACACGTGCAGTGGTGCTGTGTCAGATGGTGGAGCTTGCTCAGGTCAGGGAGAGCCCACTACTCTGCTGTCCTGCTCCCAAGCCATGGACATCTGCCCAGAGGGAGTCAGAGCCCTGGTGGTTGCCCAGCAAGGCACAAATCCAAGGTAGCCACCCCACAATGGCATGGGTCTGGTGACAGAATCACCAGTTTGTGTCCAGTTGTGCTGGACCACGTGGCTTCATCCTAAGGGAGATGTGCACTCACTGCTCCGTTCAGCATCAAAGGAAGCTGCTGCTGCAGGGGACTGCACTGGCACCAAGATCAAGCTCCATTTTATTGCTTAGTGACATGCCAAGTGAGGCAAGGAGGTGACTTGGCTAAACAGAAAGCCAGTTTCCAGTTTTCATAGGAGATGGTTTATCTAGAAGAACCCTCCAGTGTTTTAGGCAGTGACACAAAGCTCGAGGTGAGCAGCAGGACGAGCACGAGCCGCTGCTGTGCAGCCTGGGATGAAACACAGGCATAGCCAAACCCCCCTGTTCCAAAACCAGGTGGAGGAATAACTTCTCCAATGGCAGCTCCAGGCTGAAGGCAACAGCCAGCGTTGGGACTTGGCAGGGAGGCCACGATTAGCACTGTGTTTCTGAGGAGACAATCTTGGGAGCATGAGCTGCAGAAGCGAGCAAGCTTGGCCTCTGCTCTGGCTGCAAGACCCGGGCTGCTCCCACAGGGGCAGGGAAGGTGGCAGCAGGGCCTGGCATTTTGAATCTGCTCCTGTTGCTGTCAGAATAAATCCAGCCACTTCCCTCAGGCCCCCTCTGCCACGAGCAAGGCCCAGCTGCCCATACATACATCACCCAGGTAGCGCTCCATCCACTTGATGATGTCGATGCCTCGCACCGTGTCCTCAAAGATATCAATCTGCAAGAGAATGAAGGCCTGAGGTGAGCATCCTGCTGCTGCTCCTCCCAGCTGCTGCTCCTCCCAGCTGCTGCCTGCTCTGTGCCCTGGTTTCTCACATACATGCCCCATTCCCTTAGGGAAGAAGCATCCCTTAGGAAAGAAGGTTGGACATTGAGGAAGAGATGCTTCACCCAGAGCTGGTGGAGCACTGGAATGGGCTCCCCAGGGAAGCAGGAAGGACACTGAGCCTGACAATATTCAATAGTCACTTGGACATGGTGTGAACTTTGGGGTTGTCCTGTTCTGGGGCTGGAGTTGGACTTGGTGATCCAGGAGCCACCAGCCCTGGAGACACCTAAACAGACAGAGGTGGTGCCCGGGGCAGGGCTGAGTGGTGGAGGTGGCAGAGCTGGGGCAGTGGTTGCACTTGATGATCTTGAAGGTTTTTTCCAAGCAGAGTGACACCACAATACTACACTACTGTGATCCCACAGAGAGGTATGTGCAGGCACACCTTCTCCCTGCAAGCCAGGGGCAGGCAGGATGGGCACCCCAAGTGGGTGGGAGGTGGGGATGCTGCAGGACACCCCTGGGCTCAGCCAGCCTCCCCATAGCCCTGCCAGCTCCAAGGCTGCTCACTGGAACAAGAAACAGCCACTGATGGTGAATGATACATATTCAGCTTTTGCTAACTGGCTCTTCTTGCCTCCCTGAACACCTGGGGAAGGCAGGTGGGATGGCTGCCCATCACCTGCAGGGCTGCAGGTGTCCCCCACTGGCTGCCTGCACAGGGACGTGCGGAGCATCAAGGCTGAGCTGCGTATTGAACTACATTTTCAGAGGGTGTGGTGGGAAGTCAGACAGGTCACTGGTGCTGGATGCAGGAACACACACCTCAAGGACTTCCCAGGACTGCAAAGAACCAGCTCTGCTCCCCTCCCTGCATGCCCAGTAGGCCCAGAAACTGGCAATCAGTGACTGGAACCCGTGGTGTAAGTATTAGCTTCTCCAAGTTTTTGACAGCATAGTCATGTTCTGCTCTCAAGTCTTCCTTTCTGCCCTTTTGAAAGTAGAGAACATCTTTGTTTCCCTGCTTTTTGGCCGTTTTGCTGTTTGTTTTATTCTGCAGCAGGCTCCAAGAATTGCCTCTCCAGTAATGGTGCTACTGATGAGCCTTCTACTCTGTGCTTCTGTGGTGCCCAGAGCTTCCTTACGAATTGGTCGTGGTACAGAACTGCTGGAGAGAAATGTAATTGCAGTCTCTGGGAGAAATCTTTGATTCAGGAAAATAAATAAGCATGTGCAAAGCCCCCCACGGAGCCTCATTCAGTTTAATGATAGCCACTTGCTTAAATGCTTTCCTGAACTGAAGCCAAAGAGTGAAGGTTGAGGGGTCAGGTAGCATATGCATTTGAAATAGGAAAATATGGCTCCAGATTTTGATAAACACTGAATCCTGGAGTCTCTCTGGAGGGTTCCCTCAGAGAGGGCTGTTCTGATGCAGCAAACTCATGACAAGTTAGTGAAAATCTGGATGGCTTATGGGATAAGACTGTAGGACACAAGCCTTTTCAGGCCAGGGATTTTTAGAATCCCTTTTAAAAAGTGTAACAAAGCAAATGAAACCATGAGATGGGCTGTTTCATTAAGCTGTTTGAAATACACTGATTTTAGATCACTTTTTAGCAGAATGGTATTCACATCTGAGGATCCAATGATTTAGTAGCATCACAGAAAAAAACCTGGGATGGTATGAACATGAAAATTGACCTTTTTCATATTGATATTACAGCTCAAATATGAGACAATGTTAATGGAATAGCTCACAAACCTCATCCTACTGCCCATCTGGTATCTGGTGCCACTAAATGAAATTTTCCAGGGCCGTTATTAAAACACATTTCAAAGCATAAAATTCAGTTAAAATATAAGCAAACAAAAAGGTGAATAATTTAAGTTAAAACTGTTAAAGCCACGGCTAGTTATTTCTGTTTCTAGCTTCTTTAACCTACAAAATGCAATGAGAAAGAGGAGAACATGGACATGGACAGTGCACTGCTCTGCTCAGAAAAGCCACTTTTCTCCCCTGGTTGAAAGCCATTTTCTGCAGGAATACTTACAGCAGTCTGAAATCCATTTACCAGCAGGAAGTTCACAAATTTCATAACCTCCACTGCTGTGTCCACCGAATAGGTTATAAAGACCTTCCCTGGGAAAGAGAGTCCACATGAATTTACAGGCCAGGGCAAAGCAGCTGGTTAATTTAACCCAGCTGTGTGTGTGTAACTAATGACACAACCTCATCCCATAACTCGTGTGCAGGACACACTGACTAATGGCTGGGGTTTTTATCCCACAGAGGTATCTGGTGTCACAGCTCACTCCCACAGGCCAGAGAGATGCAACTCTCTGGATTTGAAAGGTGAGGCACAAAATGAAGACTAAAGGAAGACTCAGAACCTCGGGAGAGGTGTGGAGAGCTTTTTGCAGGGTCTGTCTCACCCGCCAGTCAGAAACAGGCCTGTGTTCTGAAACCTGACTCTCCTGTAAGAGTTGAAGGGTGAAAGAGGCTCAGGGTCTGGCAGCAGGGGAAGCACCTCAGCCAGCACCTGTGCTGCCCTCTCTGTGGGCTCCTGGCCCTAAGTCCTCTCAGGGCAGGGAGAAACTGAGGTCAAGACTCCACATATTTGTCTGGTTTGGGACAGGCAGAAATGCTTTACCCCGAGGGCTTTGTTTGTGATTAGTCTTTTACTGTAAGAGCCAGTGCCTCCTCCCTCCAAGGGACATCCTGTTCAGCAAGAAGTCATGAAAGCAATCTAACTGGTATTTATTTTTTGTAAACAAAATAACAAGCAATTAATGTTTTCAGGATACAAGGGGCTAATTCCCTCCCACCAAACACAAACACTCACACCCTACAGATGTGATGACACTCAGTATTTGCTCTCCTTGTTGTCTCTGTGTCTGAAAGTTGCCCCCCTGCCTTCCCCCCTCCCCAGCTCTCCCACCTAGAGCTGCCAGGCCCTGCTGCAGGGTCTGGCAGGGGACAGGTCTGCCAGGCACTTACTCAACTCCTCGGGCAGATTGCTGGTTCTCAGCGTGCCCCTGGCTGCAGGGCTGCTGGGAGGTCTGGGGACAGCAGCTGGAGATGGGAAATTGTCAGAAGGGCAGCAGCAACCTTCCTCTGGGCCACATGCCTTGGGGGGCAGCTGCTCGTTAGGGGGCTGGTTGTACAGCTGGTTTCTACAGAGAGAAAAGCAAGGGAGGATTTAAAAAAACATATATATTTCTTTTCAGGAAAAGTTCAGATTGTTTTTTTTCTCTTCTAATAGCACGCGAAGAGCTTTATCTGCACACCAGCTAGGAAAAGCTCTTGCAGAAATGCCTGGCTCAGCACTTCTATTTACTTATTACAGCATCTTGTGAATGGCTACCTTGGTGACAGTCTTACCACAGGCTGCAGTTCCTTGCAGAAGCAGCACAAGCCACAGGAAGTAAATGCACTCGTAGCTGAAAGCTGAACTGGCAGAAGCAAAGGCTGCTCCTGAGCAAGAAACAAGGCTGTGCCCTGGGGGTTCCTATGTGGCAGCAGGGTGGCACCTGGGTAACCTCTTCCCACTACCCAAAGGGGGCTTCATGGCACCTCCAATGCTCTCAGGATGTTCTGTGCAGCAAAGCAGGCACAGCACAAGGTGGGCCTTGGGAAAAGGGGGGTACAGGGGCTCTCCAGCTCTGGCACAGATTGGAAGGGGTCCAGTTTTGGACAAAAATCAAAGTTCTGCCAAAGGAAACAAAGTTGATTTCTTGACCAGCAACAGCAGACCCAGTGAGGGTTTCTCATGTCAGGGACCTGCACCTCCAGACCTGCCATAACTTTGCCCAACGTCTTCTCCATTGTAATAAACAGAGAGAAAGGGATGATCATGGGAAGCTTAGCAGTTCTTCTCCTACTGCACTTTGGCTTCACAGTTGAAGGTAATAGGAAGAGGAATCTATAGAGATTTTTAAGTGAGGTGTGCTTTAATTCTGCTGGGTTGGATCAGTGGGATGAGGGTTAGGTTTCTCTGAGAGCCTTTCCCCACAGAGCACTGAAGTTTAGTCAATCAAGCCCACTCTCTTTTTTTGCTTTGCCTTCCTTAAATGACTGATGACAGGCTGGTCACAGCATGTTTTCTGTTGTCACATTAAGATTTGGTTTATTCATTTTGTACAGATGTTTTCTGTTACAAAATACTCTATAGGCAAATACTACCAACATATAACTGCTGTTCCTGGAAGCAGCATGGGAACACCAGCCACACAGGACAGACCCTGCGTATTCCTCCTTTATTTTGGGAGGAGAAAGTACCAAGAAAAGCAACACAAACCTCATCAGAGGCTCATCAAAAAACCCAGCCCTGTGGCTAAGTGACAGATCTGCCCAAAACTTCACCTTATCTAACAGATGTGCCAAAAAATTAGGAGCCTGGTTTTCAATCTCACTGCTGCACAGGAGGATACCCACTGTTCCTCAGCATTTTTACATTTCCATGCAAACTCTTCAGTGCAATGACCTCTGCTGCAGGTACTTGCAGGCACTTTTCTGTCACAGCCCCTAACTTTTCACAGCCCAGAGCAGGGCTCTCTCAGTCACCTGCCTCCTTCAGTCCCACCTGTTCTCCCAGTTTTCTGCCAAGACCGTGTCACACAAGTGTACATTTTCTAACACAAATGCCTGTAAGTTCAGCACCTCTAAAGTTACTGTGGCACTTAAACACAAACAGTCTGATTTCAGATGCCCTCAATACCTAAAGCTTGGATTTGCTCTCAGGTAGCTGAGTCTAGAGAAAACCCTGCCCAGATACTCCTTCCCATCTGTCAATGACAGACGAACAAGGAGGGAGACAAAAAGCCTGGTGAATTAATATTTGAAAACCAGTCAGAAAGCCCTGGATGAAAAGTGCTGGACACGTGGTGTTTTATTGCTACATGAAAAATCACAGAAAAGGCTGCAAGCTGCAATGTAGAGATCTATGAGTCATGAAAGAGCTTTTCTCCCTTTTTTTTCTGCACTACAGAAGAGTTAAGAAGGAAATCACTGGGAGACAATGATTGAGGCATTCCAGGCTGGTACAGCATAAAGCTGAAGGATGCAGCAAGCCACCAAATTGACCTTTCTTCTCAAGCAGGAGAGCTCTAAGGTTTCAACTGAGATGTTTTTCAACCCCTCATCCTTTTAACCTTCAAGCGTTTATCTTCCTTAATGCCTCCATTTAGGGTGCACTGCAACAACATATCAGGTATCCAGCTTTGAAGTTCTCTGGGGTAAGGTCAGGCGCCTGCTGGGTGTAAAATAGCAAATAAAGACAACTATCCAGCATCCTGCCTGTAGCCCTGCAGGTCTGGCATGCTGAGATGGCAAGGCTGCAGAATTATGGGTTGAAAACCCACAGAAAAGCACAAAGACAGGCTGGGTGGAGAATGGACCGAAAACAACCCTGAGGAAAAGGACCTGGGGGTGATGGTGGATGAGAAGCCAACATGAACCAGCACCATGTGCTGGAGCCCAGAAACCAACCCTGTCTTGCGCTGTGTGACCAGCAGCGTGGGCAGCAGGGCCAGGGAGGGGATTGTCCCCTCTGCTCTGCTCTGGTGAGACCCCACCTGGAGAACTGTGCCCAGTTCTGGAGCCCCCAGCATAGAAAGGACATGGAGCTGTTGGAGAGAGTCCAGAGGAGGCCACAGAGATGATCCTTGGGCTGGAGCAGCTCTGCTCTGGAGCCAGGCTGGGAGAGTTGGGGTGTTCAGCCTGGAGAAGAGAAGGCTCCAGGGAGACCTTAGAGCACCTTCCAGGGCCTGAAGGGGCTCCAGGAAAGCTGGGGAGGGGCTTGGGACAAGGGCAGGGAGGGAGAGGACAAGGGGGAATGGATGAAAACTGGAGGAGGGGAGATTGAGGTGAGACATGAGGAGGAAATTGTGGAGTGTGAGGGTGGTGAGAGCCTGGCCCAGGTTGCCCAGGGAAGCTGTGGCTGCCCCATCCCTGGCAGTGTTGAAGGGCAGGTTGGATGGGGCTTGGAGCAGCCTGGGCTGGTGGGAGGTGTCCCTGCCCATGCAGGGGGGTGGGACTGGATGGTCTTGAAGGTCCCTTCCAACCGAAACCAGTCTGTGGTTCTGTGACAGAGCAGAGGAGCTGCCCCTGTGCACACCCCACCCCTCAGGGTACTTACAGGAGCCGAGGGGCAGGGGAGCAGGCCCGCTGGGGAGGTCGGTCTCCAGTGCCCTTGGGAGCACGCAGGTTTGAGTAGTTGGGGATGAGGTGCTGGGCTGGGAGGATCACTCTCTTGCAAGGTGCAGGCACAGGAGGAAGGGGCTGCGGGGTGTGCACACAGGGCTGGGCTGGGGCTCTGCCATCTGCAGGGGGGAAACAAGGGCAGCAACTGTAAGTTCACCCTACGCATTTCTGCCTCAGTCTGTGCTTATTCCTTTCCAGGCATATCCTCCTTCATGCCTAGGGGCAGCTGAGCAGCTGGGAGGCATTTGTAAGGTGTCTTGGTCTGCAAGGAGCCAGATTAAGGAACATTTCACAATCTGAAGTTTCCTTTTCCCCATTCCCTGCCCTGGGTTGGGCTGCTGGGACACCTGGCAGCTCAGCCTGCAGGGCTGCTTTGTCCCTGCACTCCCCGTGCCTCTCTGGTTTTTATTTCTCTGTGCTTTTTGTGGTGGGTTTGCTTTTTAAAATTTCTTCCTTTTTGGCAGTAGCTTGCAAAACTGCACCACCCCAACGTCCTCATGAAAGCAGATGCAAAATCCTGGAACAAATCAGTTTGCAACGCTAAGGCTGAACAGACTGTGATGATTGGAAGGGAAAAAAGAGAGGAGAAAAAGAAATAAATAATCTCTTGGTTTGTTACTTCACCCTGTTTGGATTTTCTGCCTAAGTGACCTCTGAAGGCCTTGCTGCTGCTCCTGTTGCTACCCAGGGGCTGCAGGAGAAGCCTAAAGAGACAGTTTTGCTCAAGTAATTCTGCACCACCTCACATGTTGGCCATGCTCATGAAATGCTGTTTAATGACTAATGTGCAGTGGAACTGTTGGCATAAACTGAAAGAGAAAGCAATGTGAGCTGGTTTGTTTCCCAAATGGGGAAAACTGGTGGCTTTTTTTTTGTTGTGTGTTTTTTGTTTTTTTTCCCCCAATCTTTCTGCTAGCAGCTTTCATCAGGCAGCAGCTCTGTGCACTTTCAAGCTGCTGTGCACAGATCAAAGTCCAGCCTGGCAGGGCTTATTAGCGCTGCATGATTATGGTGTTATGAGCTGGCTCTGAAAGCTGCAGTACTCAAACACTCTGTTTTTTGCCCCCTAGATTGCTTTTAAAAATAGTTTTAGTTATTTGGGGGTCATGCTTTCCTTTTCCTGGCAGCCATGAGGACTCAATCTCTTTTTTAAAAGAGGGAGGAGAAAAACCCAGAAAGAAAACAAAGCTTTGATGAAATACTCCAATTCCAGAAGGCAATACTTTAAGCAACCCCAAAATTGCAAGGAGATTCCTGATGAAATGGTGAATTAGCAACGTCGTATTTGGACCTGGTACAGGTTGCCCAGGGAGACTGTGGATGCCCCATTCTTGGAGGTGTTCAAGGTTGGATGATGCTTCTGCAGCCTGGGCTGGTGGGAGGTGTCCCTGCCCATGCAGGGGGTTGGAACCTGAGGGTCTTTAAGGCCCCTTCCAACCCAAACCATTCCATGATTCTCTATTTGCAACAGGACAGGGTGAAAGAGGCTGGGAGAACAAAACTGAATGGTCCTCTAGTGGGTCCCTTCTGACCAGCTCTGGGGAAGGTGGCCAGTGCCCTGGGAAGCTTAGCTTGGTTTACAGGATTTCAGATCAATGTTTCACCAGCTCCCTTCAGATCCATCTGCTGCTACAGCATTTTCATGGACACAAGCACTGCCACCCAGAAGCACAGCACAGCCAAGTGTGTGTGCCCACACACACCAACAGCTCCCCTGTGGGAACACCTGAAAGAATGGGCCCTGGGCACACGGCATCTGCCAGCACTCCTTTGACTTCAGAAGCAGTTTTGCTGTTGTATCTCAAATAGCAGGTGTCCAGAGCCAGCCTAGAGCCTCTGGGCACAATCCAGGCTATTGGGAGAGGCATGTTGCAACACACCAACTGGAGAGCTTTGTTGTGGGTTGCCACTGCCCAACAATTATCTGAAAGGCAAGGAGCTGTCAGGAGGTGATTTACACTGTGCTGGGCATGTGACAAACAGGAGTACAGTCGCCAGCTTCTTGGTCCTAAATCTGCTCCAGCCATCTGAGTTTATTTCACTCTTTTTGCCCTCTGGATATGGTTGAAATGCTAGTGATTTTTTCTAAAGAAAGCTTTTCAAAGCTCCTGCTTTAAAACAAAATGGCCTCATTCAGTAAATGTCCTACTTCTCAGGATGCTCAAATGTGGAGGAGGTAAATGGAGGTAAATAGCCAGGGGTGTTGTTCAACCAGCTGTTTGTCTGCTTGAAGCTGAACTGAAAGCAGAAGGTGCAGAGAGAAAACCAGAGAATGTTTTGCAAATGTTCAGCTGTAGTCATGGATAAAAGTCCATCTGTAGCCCCTTCCCCTTTACAAAATCCCAAGATCAGGAGTGAAAACTGGGGTTCTGACACTCTCTTTCTCACATATCTAATTATAATACATTGCTGGAATAACAAAACTCATTAAACAGATGTAATAAAAATGCTGTGGAGCCAACAGAAGGTTAAAAAAAAAGAAGAAGAAAGGGTTATCAGAATAGGCCTACAGCTTTTTATTACAAAGCCAGCCCAAATGGGTCGGGGTCTCCTGAGTCTAATGTAATATAAATTATATTAAAACAATGATATTGCTGTTGAATGTTCAAAGCTCACTTCATAACAGATAAAAATCTCTGAGACTGAAAAGGAATACTAATTAATAGCAGGCTGTAAACTGCCTGGTAGTCTCCAAGAGCCAAAACCCCCATATTGAGGGAGTCACATCAGGGCTCAGTGATCCAATCACCAGCAGCTGAGAGGGCTCCATCTTAAGTAATGAGCTTTCATTTCAGCTGACAGCAGAAAAAAATGAGGATGATGGATGTCACGCTCTTTTCATATAGAAATAAAACACATGGGTGAGCCTGGTCATAATGCTGGGAGATGCTATTTGCAGAGATCAAGGGTAAGCTGCCATCCTGATTCTGGCAGGAAATTCTGAACTTTGGGGATCTGAGTGGGAGCAAGGGAATGCATGAACACAACAGGAATGAAGCCAGTATAGGAGGCTGCAGAGTGACTGATGCAAGGAGGAAGGAAATGACTAGAATGTGAAGGAACAGCAGGGAGAGGGCTGGGTAAGCTCAGCGTGACCCACAAAGGCTAGTTCCTAGGCAAAATCATTAGCCCTTGTCTGATGAGTAACTGAGCTCTTCAACTTTTGAACTGGCTCAGAGGTTCTGCAACAGAGAGCCTGGCTGCACAACCCGAAAACCTGACAATATAAATAGAGGTTTGAAAAGGTGTGTAATTGCACGCCCTGCATTGCCAGGAGGGAAACAAAAGCCTGGTGGGTGATGGCTGTGACAGACACAGAAAACCCCCCGAGGGGTGAGTGGTGCTACTCACATGGGCCCTGGGGGTGCTGCTCTGCGGGGCAGCAGTGCCCAAAGCAGCCGTGGGCTGGCGAGGAGGTGTTGGGGTGGCACAAGTGCTGGCACATGGGGCACTGCTGATGCTCAGGTCCAAAATACTCCCGGGAGATCAGTGGTCCTGGCAGGTCCTGGGGGTTCACCAGAGAAACCAGAGGTAAGGGGGGCTCCAGGTGCCTGATGCCCATGACATCTTGTGACTGGGAGCTGGAGCCTGTGGTGTCCACAGTCCTCAGCTCTGCTGGGGGTCTGTTTTCTGAGGGTAGCATTGACTGTGAACTCCCTTGGCTGCTCTCCTCCAGGGAGTCCTCGGGAGTGTTAGACAAGCTCTGCTCTGATTTCCTGGAGTTGTGCCCAGTGTCAGCTGAAAGCTGTGATCTTGGCTGCATGCCTGGTTTGTCCATAGCTACAAGATGCATCTCGGAGGGAAGTGCTCCAGTTATTGATTCCCCAGGGGAACCAAAGTGTCCATGGCCATCAGGACTGGTGTATTTTGCCCACAAGCTGCTGCCTGGCTCCATGGACAGTGCTGGCTGATGACCTGCTGGTGCTCTGCAGAGGCATGATGCACTGTCCACAGCCTGAGGCATTCCAGTGACATGCGGTCTCTGGGACTCCTCATCCTCTCTATCCTCTCCAGAAGACTGTGAGGCCTTTTCCAATACATGCTCAGGAAATGGGGACCACGGCATGGATTCATCCACCTCAACTGGTATGCTTCGGCCCTCCAAAGTGCCTGTAAAAGTGGGAGAAGAGACACTGCATATGGGCAGCTACACAGACACGTGCCTGTCGTCAGCTGTCACTCAGTGACCACGGGTTGGGCTACTGAAGAGCAGCATGTATTGGTTATACTCTTTATATCTTTATTCTTTTTTTTTAAAAAGAAAATGACAGGCAGAAAACAGCAAGAAAGGTCTGGATGAATTTTGGAAAAGCAAGAAAGCAGAGGGTTAGCTGGAGTGAGGCTGGTACAGAGTTATCATCTGCACTAACCTGAGCTGGAGGCCATCTCCAAGTTCTGTAGCTGCACTGGAAAAGTGAGTCAGCTGCCCTGCTGCAAGCCTGGGATTCTCCAGCAAACTGGGAAACAAGAGAAAGTACTCTTGTGAACATGGGACAGTTTCACACAGGCAATAATCCCAAAATAACTCTATCTCAGAGACTGGAAAAGAAATGCTGGTTAGAGTTCTGGAAATCATGTGGTGCAGAACAGACACTTTGCTGGGATTTCGGGAACTTACTGTGACTGCTGAGACTGGAGCAGGGAAAAGCACAGGAACTGTGTCTCAGAGGTAATTTCTGCACCTGACAAAAGGGCAGGCTGCTTAGATTTGGAGGTTTGGCTCAAGCATATTCCAAGGAATACAATCACTTGCAATATTTTACTCTGGACCTGCTAAGATGCCTCAGATCTTAACCCTACTGCACACGCAGCTGCAGCATTTAAATTCCAAAGCTGCTTTCCAAGTGATGATGCTTATTTTATTGAACCACTTAATCCATCCTATTATCACATGGCTGTTGTTATTTCAAATTATTGAGAATTTTGAGATGTTAGTTACTGTTTGAATTGTTCTTTTCCTTCCTTCAGAGCTGGCCTGGGATCCAAACACCCTTTTGGGGGTGTTGTAAGGAAACCCGGTCCATCCAAATGATCCCTGATGATGGGGATCTCTGCTCCACCTTCACCCAGAACAATGGCAGCAGTGATGGGTGAATGCTGAGTGGGCTTCAGGAAATGCAGCCACCTTCATCCTCTGGTACAGGGGTGCAGATCAGCTTGCCCTCAGCAAATTTTACCTGTTGCCAGGGAGTAGAGAAACAAGCCTAGTGCTCACCATTTCCCCAGCCATTTTCCTTCTATGGATAATGGTTTTAAGCTGGGAGAGGGTAGATTGAGGTGAGAGATGAGGAGGGAATTGTGGAGCGTGAGGGTGGTGAGAGCCTGGCCCAGGTTGCCCAGGGAAGCTGTGGCTGCCCCATCCCTGGCAGTGTTGAAGGGCAGGTTGGATGGGGCTGGGAGCAGCCTGGGCTGGTGGGAGGTGTCCCTGCCCATGCAGGGGGGTGGGACTGGATGGTCTTGAAGGTCCCTTCCAACACAAACCATTCTGTGATTCTATCACATTGGAGAAGCTAAAATCCCAAGCAGGAGAGTTATCAGAGAAGAATGCACTAAACACTCAAGCAAAGGGAGTGACAGAGCTTGGTGACAGAAACTGGCTTGAAAGCCTGGTAAAGAAGGTCAAAATCACAGCACATTTGAGGAGCAATCCAAGGTTTTCTCCCAACTTCAGTCACAGTAGCTTTAACAGAAAGATCAAATGAAGAACATATTCAAATGACCCTAGTATTAAGAACAGGAGCTGAGAGGCAGTGTCCCAACACTGACCCTGGCTCCCTCAGCAATCCTGTAAAAGCAAAGGATGTGTCCCATGCCACAGGGCAAGAGTCAGCCTTTACATTCATGATAATCAGATCAAGCGACATGTATTCCCCCTGAAAGTGTCTTTGGCATAGAGAATTCTCGGTTTAACATTTGCTGGGAAGCAGGATAAAAGCTGTGTTTTGCTACTGGGCTGCAACGTCAATATTCCTCCTCTGTGTATCTTAAACCTCATCTATACATAAGATTTACCCTATATACAAAATACACATCGTATGTTATAATAAGCGCGCCCACAGGGAGAGTTATCCTGGGATAATTACAGTGGGATAATTATGCTGGTAAATATTCCCATGTAGGCAAGTCCTGAGAGCCCAAACACAGGAACACTGCTGCTGTGACAGCTGCAGCCCTGCCTGAGAGCTCAGCTGCCCGAGCAGCTCCTTCCCATGCAAGCACCCAGGCTTGGCACCCTGCCTGGCCAGCTCACCAGCTCTCCCTGTGGTTCCCATCCCTCTTCCTCCACCCACACGTCCCTAACACCCTGCCCTGCTTGCTGAGTCACACTGCTCTGACAGTCAGAGCCACTGGGATGGGAGAGCCCTGAGCTCTCACAGCTCAGGGCCGTGACAGGGCTGTGCTGTGCTGTCCTGGCAGCACGTCCTTTGGTCAGATGGCAGCTTAAGTCATACCTGCCCTGTGGGGGTGACTCACCAGGACAGCACAGGGCAAGGTCAGATGTGCCCCGTGCAGGGTGTAAAGCTGCCCAGTCGTCCCCTGCCAGCCGTGGTGAAACGCCTGGGAAGTTCAGAGATCAAACTCCCTGCAAGGCATCTGCCTCTTGCTCATCTCAACAGCTTTGTAAACCTGACCCTTGGGTCATCTGGCCTCAAAATGCCTGCTCAGACATGCTTGGGCTTGTGGATATCTCTGCCCGTTTGCTCGTGGGCTGAGCGACGCAGCCTGAGCGGCACAAAGGGTACTGCAAACCTCCTCCCCCCCTGAGCATCTCCAGTAACTGATCCTCTGTGCCAAACTGCCCCTGGGGTTCACCAGGCACAGGTTCAGCTGTGGGTGCCAGGGGACAGCTCCAGCTCTTCAGCTACACGTGGTGTCTGGTCATCCCACCCCACTAGGTACAACCCTTAGCACCCAAGCGTGGCTTTCCAGAAACAAATGCCTGAAGATGCTGCTTTGATTGTCTCTGATGCCAGATCAAAACGCGGGGAAACACTTTGAATTCACACCCTCCATGCTCAACAACAGCCTTTAGTTTAGCATCGTGACAAGAGGAAAAGATTTCTGTGGGGAAACCACCAACCCAGCCCAGAGCTCAATGAAGTAAATGGGAATCTCTCTAGTGACTTCAGTAGGTTTTGGATTGGGTGTCAGATGGGATTTAAAAGCTACTAAATTCCTTTGGAAGCTCCAGCCTCCCAGGCTTTTGGCCTTTGTTGTTCTTTTTTTTTCCAGTTGCATTGCTAACATCTGGCCATATGTGAGAGAGATCATGCACAGGCTTTGTGAATCTAATGAGAGGCACAACAGGGGCAGGAAAAATTCAGGCTTGTTTTCTCCAGGTTTGCTGTTTAGTGTATTTACTCTGCCTTTTGGAGGAGTGATATTAAGATTTTACTAAACTGCACTGCAAACAAGTGGCTACCAAACTCTTAAAAATAGGTTATTTCAGAATAGTTTTAAGATGTCTTTCCAAATAGTTTAGCCCTACAAAAGGATAAACCCCTCTTTATCTCTCCAATCAGCTTAATATTGAAATGAGAGCCTTATTTCCTTCCTGTGTAACATGAGCTGAACCATGAAAATTACTCCATATATCTGAGAGAAGAGGCCTGGTTCCATCAGCTGTGTTTTTACCCGCAAAAGCTTCTAGGGTTTTTTAAAATATGATTTTGCTTAGACCTGGCTGTGGGATAGCAGAGCAGGGAAAGCTGAGCTCTGATACCCACGCACAGCCCCTGCCCCTGGGGGCTGAGGCAGGAGGCACCGAAGGGCCAAAGGCTTTAGCATTAAAACAGACACATCATTAAAAGGAAGAAAAGTGACTTCAAGCTCCTCCTCCTCCCTCAGTAACTCTGGTTGGAGAGAGAAGCTGTTAAACAGCAGAGCTCTGTCTGCAGAGATGGGCCCGAGGATAATTTGACCCCAGGATACGCCGAACACTTTTTGAGCAATGTGGATGGGAATTCCCGAGAGAAATCCCCAAGCTGCTGGAAAAGCTACAGATGATTCAGAAACCTCCTCTTCCAAAAACAGTGATCCAGGACGCTGTTTCTGCTCTGGTGAAGATCCTCAGCTTTTGGAAGAAGACACAACCCTGGGCCCATGATCCCTGTGTTTTACCTTGCCTCGTGCTGCAGAGCTCCATGAGGCTTCCTTGGGCTTTTCTAGTTAGCTTATCCTGCAAGTACAGTCATGCATAAGACAGAAAAATAACTCGCTTAGGTCTCCTGTGTTGAAAAATTAAAGGAATGCTCCAGCATATGGAAATACCCTCAGGAACCTGTAGCCTGATCCCTTTTCTGGCACGGAGACCACTGGAGAGTGGAGATCGTGCCCAATCTCATTTCCAAAGACACTGCAGCCTCAAGTGAGATCCTGATATTGCCAGAAAGCTTTGAGAACTCAATATCCCCCCTGCACCTATGACTATGCAGGAGATTACTGATAACCAGCAGGAGCTGTTGCATATATTCCTGCTTGTAATAAACTGAAGGGGCCCTTCCTAAAGGGACCGAGTAGTCAGGCCTGAGCTGCTCTCAAAAATGTTGAGGGAACTCCTTAAACAACCCTTCCTCCTCTTCCTTCCTCTGCTCTTGCACCCAGTTCTGTAGCAAGCATTAATTCAGCAAAAAGCCTTCCCGGGTGGGTGCTGAGCGACCCAAGATTCTGGGAAGAAACCCCATTCTAGCTCTCTTGTGATGCTTCCCAGACCTTGGTAAGTTCTGCTGCTGCCCCTGTCAGGGAGCTGGGACACAGGCTGCCCAGCCTTCCTGCTCACAGCTGCTGGTGGCCACTTCTGGGAAGCTTTAGGGAGCACCCAAGTTTGAAGCTAAGGCCAAACTCCCCTAAAAAACGTCCAACAGAGGAAAGGGGCTGGTCAGGGAGAGGAAGGGTGTCTAGCTTGGGCTCCTCTGTGCAGTCTTCTTGTGGCTGATGGCAAAACCCAGCAGGTACTTCATCTGTTTCCCAGCACAAAGACTTGTCAGGATGCTCTGCCCCAAAACACATGCTAACCATCGATCTGCTTGTGATTAGAGAACTTCTGTCGTGGAGAAGCAGAAGAGAGACTCTGCACCACCTGCACAGCTGCACTCCCCGTCTCTTCCGGAGAGGGGGAAAATACCTTTGCTCTTTTGATCAAAGTTACATTGCCTACATTGATAAAAAATAAAACATTAGAATGAGGCAAAAAAAAATAATCTCACCCTCCCTGGTGCACAACACACAAGGGAGGGTTGTTTAGTTCACTGGTCATGGCATTTCTGAATGGCCCTGGAATAGAGCAAGGCCAAGCTGAGATCTCATAGGGTGGAGATGGACAGGAGTTTCTTGATTTCCAAATCATTCCTGTGTACTTTGGCTGAATCCTTGCAGCTGCCTGGTGC